GTGGGATCAAACATCAAGCCGCCCCCATCCGAAACGCCATCCATCAAGCAACCTCCTCTCGTAATTACAAGTCGAGTAAATCGTCATCATCATCCCATCCCTTGCGCCGGCTAACCACAATCTTCTCCTCCTCCCTAGTATCCGCCACCGCATTCAGGAGCTCCTTGAGCTGCGCCTCGGTGACCTTCTGACGCAGCTGGCCCGTCTGTGCCAGCATGATGAGCCTATTCTCCACCTCCGTCGCGCGCTGCTCTTTGACGAGTCGGATGCGTCCCAGCCGGTCGGCCGCCTCGGGGTGTAGGATCTGGCTGAGGATGTACTGTCGTTGTTCGGCTTCCTGCTGTCTGTTGCGGTTGGGGAGAGAATGAGGTTAGCTGTTGGTCTCGCGTGCTTTCTCTTGGTCTCTCTTTCTTCCGAGGGGGCGGCAGGGGGCCCTTCAAAGGACGGGAGGGGGTCTAAGCGGTTGAGGGAGAGCGTACTGCTTCTGCTCGGCTTGTTGTTGTTGGCTTCCGCTGCCGCCGCCGCCGCTTCCTGCTCCGGCTTGTGCCTTGAGCTGTTCGAGGCGGGCCTTGCGGATCTGTTAAAGGGGGTACGTTAGAGGATTTATTCGTCATTTGTGCTGCCAGTTGGAGTATATGGACTCGCTGCCCAAGTTTCTAGACTTTAGCGACGGTTGGTACTTGCCTGCTCAAGATCCGAATCCGCCATGTTTTCGTCGATCAATGGTTTGTTGACTGTTCAGATTGTCGCTTCGGCCAGAGTCGTACGCAGGACTGGTCACGCGCTATCTCGGAGTTGGCCGCTTGGAGCGTTCGTTCCTAGAATATGCAGTGCAAAAGCAAATCCAAAGTCTTACTTTGGAATTATAGAATGCTTGCCCCTCTTTCGTTCAGGATGTCCTAAGAGAACATGAACCATTCGACGGGTTGTAAGGTAAAATATACGTACTGGTATGGAATGCGAAAGATGCCCCGCCGCGGGGTGGCTAAAGCTCGGCGGTAGGTACATCCAAGTACATTCGGGGTACCTATAGTAAGGTACCTAAAATAAGGTGCCTTATAATTACCTACCTGTACGGACACACCTCAACGCCGTTGCTTTTTATCGATCTCAACCCTTGAGATTTCCATCGTCATCCCCATCTGCATTTATGGACCACCAAATCACGAGCTACAGTCACATCAATGAAACCGAACCCGGGTAACTATCCTACAAAAGTTCAAAACCAACCTTTCCGAATATGACGTCGCCCGTTGTATTTTGGGAGGTACGAGAACGAACAAAAAACACGCCAAATGACACACTGGCAAATATCGGGTCAAGTGGATGTGATATGCGAACGGGGGCCAAAATAAGGAACGAGGTTAAGGGGCTTGAGATGCCAACTGAGCGGGCAGAGGCTCTCAACCCAGGAGAACCATGGCGGTATTGATATTCTGGGCGCAGCAAAAAAACATCCCTCTCATTGTCTCTCTGCCTGAAGACATCATCTCTCTGCCTGAAGACATCAGACCTAGCCAATCGATTTCCCAGCAACGAACGCTATGCAGACAAGTTGATCGCTTATCTCATGCGAATGGAAAGAAGGCCGTAATTCCAATCATTCTCGAACGAGTGGCCACCTTCAACATCCGTCCCACGACTGACCGCATCCCACTCTGCTCAACGTCTGGTCCGAAATCCATTGCCAGACCCAGCTCTGGGCGTAGATAGCAGGCACTTTCGCTGGTCTTCCATCTTATCTCGCGAACTAGGGGACCGACATCTGGCTGACCATCGTACTCATGTTGTTTCATGCTGTTAACTTCCTTAGTACGGGTAGTCGTAGGAGCTGGGAGAAATGTCCCATGGCCAACATCATACGAGGTGCTTATGAACAGATGACAAAAAAGACCAACGACGACGAAGGGAGCACGAAAACAAGAAATATGAAACTGCGGCGGTTCGCTTCACCCTTACCTGAACTCGGGACTTAAGAAAATCCAGCAGCTCGAGCGAGTCGTCCCTCTCCTCATAAATCGCAGAGGAAGGACCGAGCCTAGTATAGAAAGGCCACTCAAAAGCAGGTGGGTAGAAACCGGCATATTCCCAGTCGAGAATGGCCTGGATCTTCAGGGAGTCCGGATCCACAATGATATTCTGCTGGGAAAGGTCGTTGTGGCAGAAGACGAATTCATCATGATCAGAAGGTCGTAGACACCAAACGTTCACCTTGGTGCGCCGCAGAACACGATACGGAGGGATAACGATGCCTGATGGTCCGCCCATGCGGTTTGATACGAGGGTTCGGAGAGTCGCGAGATGGCCTTGGAGCTCCTCACGCACTACCGCTTTTTGGCTTTCTATAAGGTTTGACATACTCACGCCTTGCACATACTCGGAGATCAGATAGTACGCCTCGTCGTCCTCAAAGTCGCAGTATACAGTAGGAACCGGGATGTTGGTATGGCGACGAATATAGCGGAGCGACTCGGCCTCGTTCTTGAGGCTCTCCTTGGCCAGGCGAGGGACGTGGATGCCGCGATGCCCGGTACGATATTCTCTAGGACGGAGACTCCTCTTGACGAAGGCGTTCCCTCGGCAATAGAACTTCCTCTCCATGGTCAGGGAGAAACATCCCTCCTCGCAGGCCTGGGGCTGCACAGACATCATAGTCATCTTCGCGGTGAGAAGAGGTAATTGTGAGGGCAGGGGAACAAGGTGGGTGAAACAAACGAAAGGGACCACAACACTAAGAGGGGAGACTGAGAGACTGGATTCGGGCTGTTGGAGGTCACGGCTCAATTCGCCCAACAGTCGTACTTTCCCACCGTCCCAGACTCTTGGAGTGAACATGACGTAATTTGCGTTTAATTTGATGTTTGGCCATTGAAAACCCCGCCAACCGGCACGGAACTGAGCACAAACATTAAAGTAGAGTGTAGGTGTAGGTGTAGGTTCTGTATCCAGCTCTGTGTGATGTAAAATTTCTTTGGTTCCCTCAGAGGCAAGTTGACGAACCACCTCTCCCAACAATCTCTAACTGTAGGGAATTGCAGTACGAGTACGTCGGATGCAACTTGACTACCCCAAGGTAAAGTGGTAAGGTAGCTTTCCTCTCAGCAAAAGACAAAAGCGCTGACCTGATCGGGTCTCTCCCGAATGCCATTTCAAAAGCCGTACCTCGATTGAATGGGTATCTGAGAATGATCTACAGGGGCGGGGCGCTGGGGGATGGGAAGATCGAAGCTTTTCACTAGCTGGTCGGGAACTCTGTGTCCCCAAACTGAAACCCGTGTCTCACCGTTATTAACATGTTAACCGTTAACTGGGGCGGTGACAGTGGCTGGATCAACAAGATTGTGGCTGATGTGGGGAACGCGTCAAACGCGTCACCATCCGGTACCTCCAATTAACCACCCGCCTAAACCGGCACCCTCAACAAGCTCATGACGCCCTTCAGTACCCATCATCGCCGCCTCCTCGTTATAAAACTGTCTGTACTCAAGGCGGAATTCTCACGCGTCGCTCGAAATGGAGTGGTCGACAAGCCCGCGCCAGAATGGCGACACTGGCCCGACGACAACGCCATCGCAAAGTCGTAGGGCAACAAGCCTCGAGCCACCATCAAGCCGTCGACTTGTCCGGACCCCGATTCAGTCTCTCCTACCACAGCCGGGCCTCTCCGCCTCGGGCAGACGGCGAAACGACAACGCCCCGACACCCCATGCGAAAGCCGCCTCCCTCTACATCGACCAGCGCCGTGCCGCTCTCACCCCGGGCCGTCGGCGCCGACAAAGTATCGTCAACCGCCGGGAATCGAGCTGGGACCATCTCCGGGCCCTCGGTCGCGCGTTGGCGAAGAGCTCCAAGGTCATCAACTCGTCCTCGTCCTCGTCTCCGAACCACGGGCAACCCCCCAGGGGACGTCGGTCGCTGGGACTCCTGGAAGAAGTTGATGACGAGGACGAGCTTCCTATCGATAGGCCCGAGATGACGCTCCCCCTCGACTTCGACGACGATGCCGACCTGATCCCCCCGCGCTCGTCCTTCCTCGACGACCAGACACTGGAGATGCCCCGTCGCGCGTACAGCGAGGCGCCCTCGCATCTTTCCATCGCCAGTGGACGCATATCCGACTTCTTTAATATACGGGATACAATGATTGGTGATGGCAATGACGACATCTTTGCACGAGGTTTTCTGCCGCAGGTCGGCGAGGATGACGGAACGGAGGAGAGATTGCCGGACGATACATTCGAACGGTAAGCCAAATAAATTCTGCGTTCAAGACAAGGGAGCCCCCTGCCCCTTTTTCTCGTTGCTCTGGCACTCGTATACTCGAGCTGATCAGTGGACACACCCACCCACACAGGATTGATGAGGATGCCCCTCGGGAGATCCTGCCCCCTCGCGAGAGCGACCTTGGTTTCGAGGTTCCTGCCGATGCAGATGCCGAACCATCCACCTTCGTCATGGCCATGGCGCAGAGTTCACCCATTCGTCCAGTTCCAGACGCAGGGGATGACATGGATAACGACCCCGGGACTGCCGCGGACATTGATGATGATGATGACGACGACGACGACGATAATGGTGGTCCCATGGGCCCTTGGGGAGACGTCAACGATGACCATGACGATCACCACCTGGGCGATCTTGGGCAAGGACCGAGGGATGACACCTTGGCGGACGAAAGACGAGACGTCAGTAGCGACGTCGACGTGACGAATGCTGATCAGGAACGGGCCGAGGTGAGAGAAAGGGGCCACCAGAAGCGGAAACCTGGCCAGAGGGTCTCGAAGCACGGTCGTCCCTATCCCCCTTTCCCCTCCACCGTCGTCAAGCGCGTGGCCGAACAATTCGCACGCACAAGCGGCATTGCCAACCCCCGAATCAACAAAGACACACTAGCGGCGCTCCAGCAAGCCTCCGACTGGTTCTTCGAGCAGGTCTCCGAAGATCTCTCTGTCTATGCAGCACATGCTGGGCGGAAAGTCATCAACGAAAGCGACATGGAGCTAGTGATGAGGAGGTAAGGCTCGAGTTCCCTCTGGGGTATCATTTCTTTTCTCATTGTTACTGTTTACTTGGACGTTATATTTTACACGATACTCCAGAGTAGCGTATGATGTCTAACAAGGTCGGGGTTTTTTTCATCTTTACAGGCAGCGCCAAATCAACTCGTCGACCACTATTTTCTCGCTGGCCACCCAGTATTTACCACAAGAGTTGGTCCGTGAGTTAAGGATGCCACCGCCTGTCGTACCGAAAAAGCGTCGGCGAACGACAACGACGGGAAGGAGAGCAGGCGGAGATGGAGAGGAAGGGGAGGAGTGATAATACGGTGAGAACGGCGACCTGAGCATACGGTTCTACCACTTCACCGTTGATACAGTTTACCATTGCTTATTCATGCGGACCCTCCTTGCGGCCTCGGACGCAGAAACAGGCCTCTTCGCAACCATCCACAACATGACCGAAGTTGCTGCTGCAAGACCGTACCTGTGGCGTTTTGGGTTAGCGGTGATACAGGTCGCCGATGATTTATGATTCAAATGCCAAACAACGAATGAGACGAGTTAACTCACCAAGTGAAGATGTACTGGGCATGGTTGTTGCGCAGGTTGACCTCGGCTGGTCTGCCAATGGGGATACCCTGTGCCTGTAGATCGAGGAATCGTAGATATTCGGGTTCTGAAGGGAGTTAGGCCTGCTGAAGGGAGATACCAGAGGGCGAAAAGGAAGGAACAAGCCCAAAAGAAAAAGAAAGAAAAAAAGAAGAAAACAAAAGAAACAAAGCCAACGGATGGCACGTACCCATGGTCACCTCAATCCAAACCGGCTCACTGCCCGACCACGCAGCCATTTCTCGCACATCGGGGAAGTAAAACTCTCCCTTCTCGGGCTTGTTATCCGGGGTGAACATGTTCTTCTTCCATGGCTCCCGCAACAGGCCCTCAACGGTGACCATACCCCGCGGCAGGGCGTCGGGCGACCTGGCGCGCTGGTCGCCCATCTTCTTGCTGATCCAGCCCCGGTTGACGAGGATCGTGCTCGCGCCGTCAGGCCGCTCGAGCGGGGTGACGACCATGTAGCCTTGCTCCCCATCGCGCATGCGCGGGCCGATGAGCATTTCGCGGTCGTGGCGGAAGCGGCCGGTGGCGACGACGCGGCGGTAGTCGAACTCGGGGACGGCGGACGGGTCGATGCGCGGCGGCAGCGGGAGGGGGTCGCGGACCAGGCGGTCCTCGAGGCGGGCGATCAGGTCGGTCTTCCACTTGAGGCGCTGGACCTGCCATGTGCCTAGGATGAAGGCCGTCACGGGGATGATGGCGAGGAAAAGAAGGCCGGCCGTGGAGCGGCGGTAGCCTGCGCGGACTATGGTCCCGGGTTCGTCGACCACGGAGAAGAACTCTCCTGGGGGGAGGTGTGTGTTCTCGTCCTTGTTGTCATCTTTGGATTTCGTACGTCGTGGGGTTGTTGCGAATGTGCGGCGAGTGGAAGGGCGTGGTGTTGGCGACCCGGCTGGTCGGACTGAGAATCGGGGGAAGGGCCCTAGACCCCATTCGCTAGGAGCGGAACATCTCGTGGTCGCGTTCGCCGTCGTTCGTGATAGGCGTTGAATGGTAGGTATGGCGGACTTCATTATGGGCTTGGCTGTTGGGAAGGAAGCATTGAAGTACGAAGTGGACTAATTATTGGAGGGCTGCAGGAATACCTACCTAGGTAGTCTGGGTTTCCGAGGAATTGGAGCTCGGTGGGGACCTAGCTTGGAGCAATAACGCGCGGAAGTCCGACGTTACCCGATGAATCCGATTGGATGTTAATACAGGAAATATGGAGTTACTGAGGTAAGGTACACTTCAGGTAGGTACCGTATTATTTTAGCAAGTTCGTCAAAGGCCGAAAACTTAGCGCCCCACCGATTACGACCTTATTTTGAATCGACTAATAAAACTAAGGAATTTTATATAGTAGTCGATTATTAATATTAAGTAGAAAGATAAAATCGTCGGTTATATCTAGTAGAAGAATATTAGTTAGATATTAATCTAGGTATTTCTAGGGTCGTAAAAAGAGAGATATATATATAGACGATATTAAGGAACCTGTTAGTATCTAATTAAGGTATTTTTAAGGTTATAGTAGTATTATAATTAAGGCTATCGGAGATAGAGGGTTATCGGGATATATAATTTATAATCGATTTAGCCTGTGTGGGGAAGTGGGTATTTTTGACGTAAGCCGAAAAAAGCCTTTGACGAACTTGCTAAAACAATACGGTAGTACATTAAAGCAGGTACCTTCGAAGTACCTCAAGTACCTCGTACCACTGTCATCTGTTATCTGTTATCTGTACTTCGTACCTTGTGCCATATTACACCAATCAGGACGTATTGACGCGGACAAGGACACCGTCACCCCTGGAGTCGTGGAATTGAACATGGCCAGATAGAACGACTTCATACCACTTTAGGTGATGCCATCCGATTTTCTCTCCTCTCATCTTCTTGACCCTCGAATATCGAATCTCACATCTCGAAACCACGGATAACGTGTACCTTAACGTTGCGAGGCAAAATAAACGTCTGTGGTTAAGCCGACTTTCGAATAGGTGGCTGGCTGATCGGGACCTTGCATCTCCTCTCTTTTCTCTGTCCTCTATTCTCTGTTCTCTGTTCTCTTCTCTCCTCTCTCTTCACTCTTCTCTCCCTCGCTTTCATCTTCATCTCACCCCTCGCCCCCCTCTCGTTACTCGGCTCATTCCGACGTACGGGGTCCTCTAGCACTCCCCATCTAGACCACTGGAGCACATATATTAGCAGTTGAGCACTTGAACAGTTGGGTCTAAAGTTCCTCTAATATCGGCCGTCCACCACCCCGACAAGGCTCATCCTTGCGAGTTCCAGACGGACTGATTCAAAGTCAACACGTCTCAAGACTCGACTTGTCGCCATGTTCTTTACCGGCACTATACAAGAGGCCGTTGCCACAGCGCTTCGGGAAAACAAATTCGTCGTAAACTTTGTTACCGGTATATATGACTCTCTATGTCTCTGTGACGACTTGTTTTGGCCGAGGAAGCTTACCAGAGTGTCAGATGAACAAGAAGTGGGCCAGCAATGGGAGAATGAATGGCTTCATGACCCCTCTGTGAGTGAGCTCATCAAGACCCCCAACATAAGAGGTGTCCTCCGCCCTTCCCCTTCTAACATACTTCCAGCTTGTCCCCTTCCTCCGCGATGAATCTGTCGTCTTACGGTTAAAGGCCGGATCTGTTGAGGCGGGTTTCTTAGCCAATCTCTATCCCATACCTAAGTTCCCGACCATCATCATCATCAAGGATCGTGATCTCAAGGGTTATGTTGCCCCGGACTGCGATAAGGAGAAGTTCCTTTTGCATATGACAGTGGCTTTCCAAAAACCTCCGCGAAATCAGAATCCGAGCCAGGCTCAAATTACTACCACCTCGGAAGAGGCTTCGGCCGTTCCACAGCAAGCATCAACCCCGAACCTCGCAACACAAACTCCATCTAATGCTCCCCAGGAGTCTCGACAATCTCAACAGGAACCACCAACCTCAGACATCTCCAGCTCCTCCGGGGGCCCTCCCACTCCATCACAGGAGGAAGAGCCTGCCGCCAATCTCCGTGCAGTCTTAGCCGAACGCCGCGCCCGTCTGGAAGCCCGGCGCCGTGAAGCAGAACGCAAAGCGAAGGAAGCCCGAGCCGCCAAAGCCGCCGCCGAGGCCACCGATTCCTCCCCCGAAGCCGTCCAAAAGCGCCTTCGCGCCGAAGCCCTCCGCAAGGAGCGCGAGAAAGCCGCCGAGGAGCGGGCCCGCATCCTGCGCCGCATCCAGGACGACAAACTCGACCGCCAGGCCCGCGCTGCCGCCTCCCGCGAGCCGAAGCTCGGCGACGTGGCGGCCGCCCTCGCTACCGTCGCGTCGACCCCCTTGCGCCCATCGACCGGCCAGGTGGCGCTGCAGGTGCGGCTATTCGACGGCTCGTCCCTGCGGACCCGGTTCAGCGGCGCCAAGGCCACGCTCGGGAACGATGTGCGCAAGTGGCTGGACGAGTCTCGGACGGACGACAAGGTCCCGTACGTTTTTAAGCTCGTGCGGCCGCCGCCCCAGCCCAGCCAGCGGATCGACGAGACGGAGGAGGGCAAGACCCTTGCTGAGCTTGGGCTGGTGCCGAGCGCTACGCTGATGTTGGCGCCCGTGAGGAAGCACGCTCAAGCGTACGATGCCCGGCGTCGCGGTTTCTTCGGCCTCTTGTTCGCCTTGTTCGGCCAATTTATTGGCTTCCTGGCCTGGCTGTGGGGTCTGATGACTGGGGTCTTCTCAGGGTCTGGTGGCGGCAGCAGTAACAGCGGCGGCAGCAGCAGCAACAACATTAGCAGTAGCAGCAGCAGCGGCGGCAGCAACCGTGATCACGAGAACGAGGAGAGCAGGAAGAAGCAGGCGGAAGCACAGGCGGCCCAGGTGAGGGAGCGGCGCAGTGGCCGGTTTGCGCAGTTTGCCAACCCAGAAGACCGCAGAGGGGACCAGCAATTATATAACGGCAACTCGGTGTGTTCCCTCCCATTTCCCTCCCACTTCCCCCCTCCAATCTCGCGGTGGCACAGTGCCGTGAGCTAACTGTCACAGCTCAATTTCGAACCGAGGCCCGATGACGAACAGTGAGACCATGGGAAAGCTAGTTCTGGGAGGCTGCCGTGGGAATTTCTTATGCTTGAATATATTACTGTTCACTGACTGATTTGGGCAATATCTTCAGACATATTGCAGTACTGTAGTGCCGGCAAAGTGGGGAGCGGGAATCTTGTGTCGTGTATTATACACCGGGGAGATGTGAACTAAGAACTAATCTCGTTCCAAATAGGCTGCCCATCGAAATGAAATGCTGTAAAGGGTCTCTTTATGTCTTCATGGCCATGCAGTTGCGATCCTGGACCCCAATATAGGTACAAAAAAATTCTCCACCCTCCACAGCACACCTTACGCCCCTCTTCGGCTCTTCGTCTAGTAGTTGGAAGCGGCAGACTGGCAGGCTTTCTGTCGACAGGCAGACATGGTTAGCATATATCATATTCCCGATTTCTTCTTCTTTTCTTTCTTTTTCGGAAAGGGGTGAGGCATACCAGCTGCTCAAGATACCAGTTGCAGATCTGCATGTTGCCCTGGTGGTCATCCATGCACTTGGTGAACTGCTGCACGGCGGGCGCGCAGTTGCCCTGTTCGCTGGCGTAGTTCTGCTGCTGGGAAGTGGCCTGGACCTGCTGGCTCTGCTCGGGGGCGGCGGGGGCAGACGAGCCGCCGCTGAAGAGTCCGCCGATGGCGTGGCCGATGGAGGAGCCGATAGCAACGCCACTGAAATGTATGTTAGCTGGGCTGGTCGTCGCCAAGCAGTCCGTTCAAGAGGACGAGGAGGGAGAAAGTGACGAGGAGAGGGAGGATGGAAAAGGCCGAAGAAGCGGCGAAAGGAAACGTACGCAGCAGTGCTGGCCATCTGGCCGAGCAGACCGGGGCCCTGGCTAGGAGCAGCCTGCGCGGGAGGAGCTTGCGCGTGCTGCTGAGGGGGGGCTGCGGCGGTGGTAGCTGGACGGGTCTGCTGGAGAGCGGGAGCGGGTTTGGCGACGGTAGGGCGCGACGGGGCAGCGCGGCCGGGACGTTGGCGAGCCATCTTGGATGTGAAAGTGGTGGATGAAGTAGGGTTTTGGTGGAAGCGGGGAGTTGTCGGATGTCGTTGTCGTGGTTGGGTTTGGAGGAAGGAGGGAAAACGTCTCACAAATACTTCTTCTGGACTTTTGGCTTGAGGGCGTAGAAGATGCTGGAGCTCGGCTTTTGGCTCCTTAGCCCACGGGGATACGTCGGCTGGCCAATCGCCTGGCCAATCGGGACACTGAAACTAGCGGTTTACTAAGGGTCTGGGATCCGCTATCGTGGCGTTTATGGACTTTACGGGATTCATGTTATGCAACAAAGCATTGTCCAATCAGCAGCGGTTGCCATTTGTGGCACTCCCCAAAATTTGAACGACATGGCCAATGGCCGATGCATCTGTGGTATCATGGCGAAAGTATCATGGGCCTGCGGCATGAGGTATATGTGTAGTTTTACATATGTTTCTTCGGACGCGAGACAATGAAAATACTGATCAAAGCTGGAGCGGACGGAGTAAGAAAGAACCCACTGCCTGTAATCATGTGACCGGCTCCCGGTCAGCTATCCATCCCGTGGCATCCCGGTCAATGACCCACCGCCATGACATTCGCGTGGAAGTGGGAAGTGTGGCGTGTGGCTGTGCGGCGATGTCTTGTCGGGCCCAGGGTAAAGTCTGCTGGCATTGGCCTAGGGGCGTTCACAAGCAACGCTGGTTACGGTTCGATGGCGATTGTCAGTCAAGCTGCTCAGGTCTTGCGGCTTTTGTTTTTGGGACGTGAGCTCAAGTTCGTTGATGGTGAATCGCCGGGCGCAGAGCGTTTATTTTGGATGGACTTCAAAAGAGCCTTGGCCCGTTCTTCCGCCAGCTTTTCCTCGAGCTTTTGCTTCAGCTCCTTATTGTCGGACTGGAATTTTCACATTAGCATAGTTCCGAGGGTGGGCGCAGGCCGAAAAAAAAGGAAAGAAGAAAAAAAAGGAAGAAGTAGAGAAAAAAAAGGAAGAAGTAGAAAAAAAAGAGAAACCCACTAGATCTGCTTTGAGAATCCGCGTGGTGGCCTCTGTGTTCACCGTTGTTGAGCGCTGCGATGGTGGCTCCTCGGCCTTCTGAATTTTGGCAAAGTATTGCTTTACTCGCTTGAGCTCGGTCATGACTTCGTGGTTGACCGCATCGACACCTTGTAGGCGCATGGCAGCTGAAAGCCTGTTAGCGCGCTTCGGCTCCGAGTCTCGAGCACACTGGAACTGATGAGATCCTACAAAAAAGGAGCGATTCTATTGAGTAAGCTGTCAGGGTCATAAGCTTCGCCCTATCCAGCAGGGGTAGTTCGGTCGACATGTCGGCCAAGTTGTCGATGAGAGGCTGCAGGGTTTCCTCGAGGTCATCGAGGTTGGAACCCAGTTGGTCCAGCCCTGGTGCTAGGTCCTTGACATCCATCTGAACCAGACGTTTATGCTAACGTGGGAGTTCAACGACGCGGAAATGAGAAACTGATAGTCTTCTTCGAGTTCACCGACTCGACAATCGAAACTCGATAGTGTTCTCCCCTCTCTTGGCTGTGCTGGACACGGGAATGATGCGAAGGCGCCTGATGAAGGCAGGCGAGAACTGAAGAATGAGATATCGATGAGTTCTTCCCAATGCTGTCCGTCGACGAAAGAAGTCGCTGGTTTGTAAGGATTAGGAATAGAGTCCCAGTTACACTCTTGCCAAAGAGGATTCGCCAAATTATAAAATGTGATGAGAGAGACGTGGTGAAAAAGAAGTGAAGTCGACTGCTGGTGTGCATATATGGATAGAGGTTCATCAAAGTGGGTGTTTGAGACGGAAGACTTTGATGCGAATTATACGAAGTAGGAGCGCATGCGTAAGGTACCTTTAAGGTACCAATTGGAAAATAAGTACCTGTACCTGCACGTACTTTCCAAGTACACGTGTACAAGCTACCTTACAATGCGGTAGCCGGAGATTTGCCGCCCCGCAAAAAGTTTTCTGAAGCACGTCCGAGGGTGAACGGGCAAGACGAATCCAATTTGCCTTTTTTGTCCCCTACCGACGTTTCAATCAGCCATCACCCACATGAAATCCTGCTCAAGCGCGCCGTCATTCCCTCCATGCTTCGATTCCCTTTGTGAATTCATTGAAACGAAATCCGAACTGCATTTCAACATCATATCGCCCACTGTTTTCTTGTGCGCCAGCCTTCGCTCACTGATGAGCTCGTCTTGATCTTCACCCGACCGACCTCAACCGTGGCTTCCACCCTGGCCCGACTATCCCGACCGCGGCTTCCTGCCCGGATATCCCACACACAGTCAGGATGGTGTCAAGGTAGCATATCCGTGGGCCGGGGAGCCGTCAGATATGTCTCGGTCGAGTCTCCAATGGATTCCCGACTGGACTCTCGCCAACCGTTGCACCGCATCTCGCCCGGCGAGGTCGCGCCAAAGGAGATGGCCGCTACCGTACCCGGCGCCTCCACGCTGGGTCTCTCGAAAGAACACAAGCAGGGGTTTAAGAAGGTGCTGGGGATCATGCCGGAGCAGAACGACAAGGAACTCTATGCGATCTTCAGGGCCGATACGCTCAACCGCTTCTATGTCCCGGCCGTGATGATGGGCCACGACCAGCCGGCCCCTCCGTCTGCTCAGACCGTTCACATCCTGGGGTCCGACGGCCGCTCCAAATTCTTATCCCACTCTCTTCACGGAGTCTATGGCTCGATACAGACTATCGACCCGTACCGGACGAACAAATACACCAACATTGTGCGGAATCGTAGCCGTCGGCAAGGGAGCGAGGAGCTCGTGCGGCTCCGAGTCGCCAATGGAGAAGCGCACACTTCGGAGGTTCACGAGCAGGAGGGCGACAAGGGGCACATCAGCAACCTCGTCGTCTCAGGACCCCCGAGCCAAACGGTCAAGTTGCTGGAACAGGTGAAAGACCGCGTGGATGGCCGGACAGCCATCTGCCTGATGCAAGACGGCCTGGGCGTGGCAGAAGCCGCCAGCAACAAGGTCTTCACCGACCCCAAGAATCGCCCGTCCATCGTCCTCGGCCACATGACGCACTCCCTAGCCCTCGACCGGAACGCCAACGCCGTGCACTCCATGAAACCCGACTACCAGACCGCCCTGACCGGCATCCGCCCCTACTTGGGGAAGAAGTACCAAGGCCTAGAACGCCGCCACCAGCACCAGCAAGGTCCAGCCACCGCCACCGAGTCCTGGCTGCGCACGCAGGACATGCTCTCCAAATTCGCCGCCGCCACGGACCTGCACGCCCACGGCGTCCCGCTCGACCAGTGGCTGAGGCTCAAGATCCCGTCGCTCATGTTCTCCGCCGTCGCCGATCCCATCTGCGTCCTCCTCGACGCCCGCTACGACCAGCTCCTCTGGAACCCGACTGCCACCCGCCTCATCGGCCAGTTGCTCGACGAGATCGCCGACGTCGTCGCCCTCATGCCCGAGCTGCGGAACGCGTCCACCGCCCTGCAGGCCGCCCTGCGCGGCGAGGGCATGCGGAAACACACCATCAACCGCCTCAAGGCCAAGAGGGACGCGCCGAGCCGCATGGCGTTGCAGATCCAGCGCGGCCAGTTGACCGATATCGACTACCTGAACGGCTACTTCATCGAGCGCGGCAAGCGCTTGGGCGTGAAGCTGCCGGCCAACGAGATGGTGGTGGGAATGGTCAAGGCGAAACATAAGGCGCGGTTGGAAAAGCTTCGGTCCTACGTTCCCTTCGAGATGACCTCAAGGTTTTATTAAGACGGTGTATTTTTTCAGTTTGTATACTTCTTTCAGACTACAATGGTTCTGAGAGGCGTGAGTTGATGACGGGAGCGAATGAATGTATGATAGGTAACTCATACCAGGGGACATGGGCGGCACGAGCTCCTTTTTGGTAATACATAGGTAGGTATCTTCTTGGCTGGGCTTAAACCGTACTGATCGCACTAGGTTGCATATGCGGTGGTATATGGTCTTCGTTTCTGTGTCGTGTGAGCGAAGCCAGGGAAAATACAACAACAGCCCTTCATTCTACGACCTCTTGAATCCCTTGGCTAGCGTTGCCACCGGGCAACAAAAGCCACATGTGGCTCAACTGCGCGTCTTCGTATCTGTTCATGACCGTTGCAGACGTGACGGTTGGACTGGACGTCGGAATTTTAAGTTGAATCTTTCCAGACACACAACACACTACCCAACGGGGAACAGTCATGCTATATATTAAGGCGTTATTTGTTCTTGGCACTCTAGATGGCTGTGCTTTCTGAAGTATCATGTCCAAGAATATGGCGGACATGGGGGACCAGCAACCCTACCAAAGAGACACTGGTGTGAATACTCAGCAGCGCTCTCGTCTGTGCTGTTCCCCAGCATCCCGGACGGTGGGTAACCCCTCAAGACGCAAAATTGCAATGCAGCGGCTTCAACAGCGACGCTCATTTTCGATCCCCATCATCATCACATCATCATCATCTCTCTCTGTCTCTCTCTCTCTCTCTCTCTCTCGCTCCCCTCTTCCACGAGAGACATAAAATCTTGGGACGCTCACCCTTTTCCAGGCTCTCTCAGGCTTCCCCTAAACTTTGGTCGATGCCGTAGGCCCTGATGGCCGTGCCGCCGAGCAGTTCGGCCTGGTCCTCGGGCTCCAGGGTGGCCATGTAGCACATGCGCTCGACAATGAGCTTCCAGCGACGCCAGGCGTTGGGATCGAGGGTCTCCTGGCCGCCGGTGACTGTGGTGGGAGGGCGGACGGTGCAGACGGGCCAGTCAGAGCCGAACATGATGCGGCGGGGCCCGAAAGTGGCGAGGATGACACCGAGCCAGGGGAAGATGGCCTCGAAGATGGCGGCCGGGTCCTGGGATATGAGGGAAGTGGGCATCTCGGAGAAGCCGCCAGAGAGCTTCATGTATGTCTTGGCGCACATGGAGAGGGCGTAGATGCTCGTGCGCCACTGGACGAAGGACGGGTCGGCAACGTTGATGATTCCTAGGTTGGGCTTGCAGAGGTGGTCTAAGGGCCAAAATTCCATGTTAGAACGGGATGAAGGGGAGTGTGAATGCGAGTGTGGGAGTGGGAGTGGGATGGGCACGTACTTATGACAACGGTTACCTTCTCCTCGTCCGGCACACCTTCGTGGGCCGAAGTAATCAAGATGAGGGCATCTTCTAGCTGCTGCCTTCCGCGGCGGTGCTGGTCAACGCCCAGGTCAAAGGTGAAACCTCGGCGGCCGAGCAGCTTGAGAGATTCGATAAAGTCGGGCTGAACGGCGGTGCCGTGAGGTTTGTCCTGGAGTAGATAGCGAAAGCCGCGAATACGGGACCAAGTCTCGGGGCCGGCGACGTCGCGGACGCGATCGAGGTAGCGCTCCAGGACCTCGGGTCCGCTGGGGATGGGAGCCCAGGGGACGATGCCGAGGCAGAGACGGGCATCGTCGGGCCTGTGACCCTCTCCTTCGCGCGGGGTGCCCTCGACGATGCGTCGGAGCCAGGAAACCTCGGCGAGGGGACCTTCCCAACCGGATTCGTCGCCTTCTTGTGCGCCGGTGGCCAGGTCGTGCACGCGGTCCGTTTCCACAAAGATGAAGCCCTTGAGATTGGTCGGAGAGCCGGTGGCGGCACGGTAATCGGAGACGGAGTGTTGTTTCGCGAGGGGATTGTCGGGCGTGGCCCAAGAGAGGGTGGGGATTTCGGCCTCGGGGAAGAGGTGGATGTGAGAGTCCACAATTGGATAGTCAGCCATTTTGAAGGGATTCTAGAATCGCAGATGATTTTCAGGACTTGGGTATAGTAGGTTAAATGAGCGAGGGTAGATGAAGCTTAAATCTTGGCGTCTGCTTCAAGATTTAGATGATAGTTTGCTTGACCGACATTAGAGGTCAGGGGTAAAAGAGGAGGGAGACAGTGCCAATAATATGTTTCTTCCTGTCCGGCCAATTTCGATGTTTTCTACACAATGGGAACTCGATATATAAGAGTAAGAACTAAAAATGAAGAAATGAAAATGAAGAATGAAGAACAAAGAATGAAGACAAGAGAGATTGGAGGAGATAAAACGCGGTCGTTGGTGTTGCCCTTCCAACTGAGGTGCTCCTGCGACTTGGGTTGGGAGGCTGGAGCTCATAACAGTGCCCCTTGCAGGTACATTCACATGCGCCTAAATATGGAGTACGAAATAAGTACACTAATGTACCCAACTTTACCCCGCTGAGAGCTGGAGCTGTGACGTTGTAATTCTCCCCCAGTCGTGGTTGCTGCCCCTCAACGTAAAAGTTGATCTTCACTGCATTCGTACTTTGGGTGCGTCGGGTAGCTTATACACGTGTAATTAGTGTATTACCCCGAGATGCGACGCCTCCAGAGTGCCGCATTATCCGCCGGGTACTTTTTCGTCCTAGTCGGTACCTTAAGGTACCTATCTACCTGAAGGTACCTAGGCAGGTTGAGATACCCTACCATTAAGAATTGTCCTCACTTGGAGCACCCTTACTTACCTACAGGTACCCGGTTAAGGGGGGGTATAGGTCAGAGCTCGAACAGAGAATTTTGCACTAACCAGAGCCAGGACGGAGATATCGCTGTCAACATAATGTTCTAAGACTTGCGACATCCGACCAGTCCATCGGGCTCTGACCTATAACCAGCCAAACCCGGGTAGGTAGTAAGACATCTACGAGCAAGGGGAGGGGAGCGAAGGGAGAGAGAGGGTCGTCCCCGTAAGGTGGGTGGACTGCCGGGTTTCCTTCGCACCTACACAAAAACTACCCTACCGGTGCGCTGTGCCCGGTGGAAAGTGCAGTCGAGTTTCTGGTCGAAACACTCCAAGATACTCATTTTTAGAACAATCCCTGTCGCTGATACAAGAAATGCAAAGTCATGGAAAATATCATAGATTCAAGCGTCATCTATTTATGCTTGTCAAGGCAGCCATACGCATTATATACATACGTCCATTGACCCTTCTGCCTTTGTGTATTCTGACCGGCTTGCTTGGACATTTGCCTATATCGTCCTGTCCAAGGCCAGGTCGCAAGTCCTCATCTCTAGGGAGGCCGGCCGTGTGTGAACGATTGAGCTCTCACAGGCGTGTCCTTGACTCTCTCCCTTCCTCTTCTTCATCCTCAGGAGCTACGGCTCCACGTCTACGTCCCCCACACCTGGTTGTCACACTCAAATGCGTTTGATCATCCAAGCACGTGAGTGGAGTTGAGAGAACCAAAGTGAAAGGGGAAGCGTGAGCGACGCAGAAAAGCTCGGTTGTTATCCGGGGGGAATCGACAAACGAAACGAAAGTCGTCGCGTCGTCGGGTGGCCGGGTGGCCGGCTTCGCCCCTCTCCATATCGGCGTCCCGTCGACGGCCGATACGGCTTGAAAGTCGGGGGGGGCGCAGGGAACGCGGGGGTGAGGAACACCCGAACGGACACCCGAACGGCGCGGCGGGGTCGCAGCATCGACCCACTTGTGGAACGAGGGCGGCTTCTATGGCAACGCCGAAGGGGGAGGGCTGCGAGATCCAGCTCGCCAGCCTTCCCCATCGCGCGTGCCAGCTGCCGAGCACCTCAGTGGATGCAATGATTGAATGAATCATACAGCAAAAAAAGAAATATCGACACAGTTTGTTTTCTCTCTCTTAGCTTCACCTTCTTGCCGTCGCATGAGCCATCTAGTCGCGGACGACGATGCCATTGCGGCGCGAGGTGGCAGCCACGGGCTTCCGCGGGGCGGCCTCATACTCCTCGCCGTCTTCCTCGCTGTCGGAGGTGGCGGAGGAACAGCTGGAAGTGTCGTCGCCGTAGCCGCAGCGTTCGCCACCGCAGTCGATCTTGACGCGCTCGCCCTTGCGGGTGATCCCGTAGCGCTCGCACGTGCACGAGCTGCAGTCGGAGCTGGGGGTCGAGTAGCCCGACAGCGAGGACGAAGGGCTGGAGCTGTCGGAGCGGTACGACAGGGACGAGCCGGTCGACGAGACGGGGGAGTTGCTGAAGTCGGTGATGATGTCCTCCTCGTCGAAGCCGGCCGAGCCGAAGCGGGCAGTCAGCTCCTCCAGGGCCTCCTCGTCGCAGTAGTCGGCATCCAGGATGTGGCGGGTGGCGTGCGGCGACATGGGCTTGGGCGCCTTGATCTGGGAGATGGACAGGGGGCGGCCCTTGGGGATATCGACGGAGAGCGAAGAGGTGCGGGTGGAGCGCGACGACCGGTGCTCACGGGACCGCTCCTTCTCCTTGGACGAGGACTGGTGACGCGAGGAGGTCTTCTGAGACGACGACTTGGAGGACGACTTGGAGGACTTGCCGTCGGAGGGGACGTCGAGGATGTTGAGGGAGCGACCGGTGGTGGGCTCGACGGTGAAGGCGACGCTGGGGTTGTGGGCGACGTGGTAGCCGTCAATGATGTAGTAGTACCAGTAGCGCTGGCCGGGCTCAAGGGTGGAGCCCTGGAACTTGAAGATGCCCTTCCACGAACCCGACTTGGACGAGGTCCTGTCCTTGGAAAGAGGGAGCTGGCCGACGTAGTTGTCCCACGAACCGAGCAAGTGGACGGTCTTGATGCCCGAGGAAACGCGGAGAGAGAAAGAAAGCTGGATGGAAGACATTTTTGATGATTTTTTTTTTCCCTTGTCGGTGCTGTGACGTGATGTTATGTCGATCCACGGGAAGTTAACTGGTGTGGTGGTGGTAGTTGAGAATTGGCTGAGCAAGAAACTCCAGGTTTCCGTTGATTAGGTTGGCGGTATATTAATCGCAAAGAACTCAAAAATAAAATGATGGTGTAAAAAATCTGTCTCTGCACTCCAAAATGTTGACCGGCAACTTGAGATCTGGTAGCGGCTGAAGAAAAGTTGATGCTTGGAGTGTGTGGTTGTCTTGGATGGGGATGGTATTAGAGACGATTAGATAGGAGGCCAGCTCACAGAAAGAAAGATAAAAAAGAACAAACGAAAACAAAGTCACAACGGAAAAAAGAACCTGGAATTAGAATCTTGAGAGCTTGCTGAGGAGAGGAAAGGGGAGAGAATTCGAGAAGGGGGGGGAGGAAGGGCCCCCCATTATATGGAGAGGCCAGACCTCACGGCCAATATGGGGACGTCACCTTGGAATTGGTGAGATGGTGGGTTGCTGTAGCCGGCCGGATTTTCCTCTCGTCGAGTTGCGTTTCCTCATGCATACGTACGGTCCAGCTCCGTGGAGCCATATTCGAGGAGGATCCAAACAAACCCATCGACCCAATAATAACGACATCTAGGGCACCACAATTTGTCAAAAGGTCGACGGGGCCAAGGAACACAGCACTAGTGTCCATGTTGGAGAGATCCCGGGTCGACTTGAAGAACTGGCCCCGTAAAGCTGTACGGATACAGAGTGCGGAGCAATGCCTCTCGTATGGTACAGTATGTTTGCGGGACGCAAGGAGACATGCCGTTACTGGGGGAGTGCTCCGTATACCTAGTCTGCCCCACTCGTCTCATTGTATCTGGGCAGGTATAGCAAGGACAGGGAAGGCAGTTAAAGAGGATCTCCGGTGAAAAAGAGGCGGGATTGTGCTGATGACTTTCTAGTGCAACGCTGCTACTGCATGCCTCGGCGGCTAAGTTAATGGAAGAGACGAGGTGAGATGGCCAAAGGGGCGCGGCCAAAGGGACGAGGAGAGAACCGAGTGGTCGTTGAACAGAACGGCCCTAAACTGCTTTAGGCCTACTTAGGCGTCTAATCCAGTTCTCTGATTGGACATGTGCCTGCCCCACCGACCCACCGGGCCTACACCAAGGTCGCCTATCACCCGTTATGCAGCGGCAAACCAATCAGCAATCGCATCCCGCACTTCGCTGGGAGATCGCCTCTCAGCTTCCTGCATTCAATCCATGCAGTACCGCAACCCAACTGTACCCATACACACGACTATGAGCACGAAAGCACCTTCGTGAAAAATTGGCTTGTCAGCAATTCCCCTCCGGATGTGCATCTTTGTGTGAGTTGCCGCGACACCGGGAGCTCGATCTGACACAAGATCGAGAGTTCACAGGCGGTCTGCTTTGTCGTCTTGCCTGTCATCCCCTGCCCGGCATGAATTCCTCTCCTTGTTCCTTGTCTTGATTGCTCATTGCGATGGGCAGGGAACATGGCTCCCGGGCCGCAAGATGATCGCCGCCATCACGGTATAGGCAATTTACCGGATCGGCCCTAGTGTGTTCATTCCATCAGACAGACAGTGACAAAATCCCTCGGTCATGGACTCGGATATCCTGTGCCATCCAGCGCTCATAAGCAAGCCTGGCTCCCTGACTTTCGGCCCTTGGGTGTGCTCGCTCGCCGCTATTCTTAGCATCAGTTGTGGGTAAGTAGTACGAAACTGGACAATAGCAGTGGTCGAGCAATCGACGAATGGTACACGTTGTAGTAGCGTGGCACGGTACCCAGAGCCTGCTAGAGAAGTCTGTCTCACTCACGGCTCGCCGGGAAAAAAGCAAGGTTACAACTTGAGTCCCTCATCCTTTCTTTTCGCATCGTCAGCGACATCGGCACCCGGCAGCCATTTGCCCCCATCCTGATCCATATCGGTATCGGAATGACACCCGCACTTGCTGAATGAAAGATCTCCCCTCTCGTGGTCCACGTCCCTCTGAATCAAAGATCCAAGCAAAGGCAGGTCCATCTCCTGGCTTGTCCCTCTTCGGGTATGGTGCCTTCGGCCGTATGCATACCACGAGTACTAGTCTCGGCGGGTATGTGAGTATGTGAGCTCCGTCACACGACAGAGAGGGAGTCATCCAAAGAGAGTCGAGTATTCTTATGGGACACCCATCCCTTCCTTGTATTCGTTCATATATTTTGCAGTCAGCACAACGACAAGCGAGTTCGCAGAAGCCTCAGCATGCGCCACGGGACGCAGGCCAGCTTGTAAGTAATAAACTGCGTAAAAGCACCGACGACGGACCAGCCATCTTGAGATCGCATGCACAGGGAGGATCTCAGCTTTTCTGGTTCATTTGCCGAACAAGGTAAGCCGAAACTGTTGCGTGGATGCCTGCCACTAGGCACCACCTGCCATGATGGGTATATTAACCTCCACACCTGCCCTTTGGGCTGTAGGGATATTCTTCCTTTTACATACCAGGTACATACACACAATCCAGACACATTACTCTGTTTGAGCTTTCGATAGAACTAGGTATTGTGGGTGACATTCGCTAGCCGGATCCCCATCATTATTCAGTCACGTGATAGCGCGTTTTCTCTTTATAGAAAAAAAGAAAAGAAAAAAGAAGCACGTTGTGAGATATTTCCGACGCGTCTCTGCATTTGGCGAAAAAAAAATTCCCTGTTGCCAAACTTCAAACCCATCTGGTGGATTCCCGTTTTGTCTGTATCATCCTTCAAGTCTCCTCTGCATACTTGAAGCAATGGACCCCTTCGAAACCTTCGCCGACGACGTTCTCGTCCTCAAAGCTAGGGCTTACTCCGAAGCCTACATGTCCCAGTACGATGCTTCCCACGACTGGTCCCACATCCAACGCGTCGTGGCACTGGCCCACAAAATATACATCGCCACCGCACCCTCGCACTCGACCCTTTCTCTGCGAAAAGTCACCCTCGCGGCGCTGCTGCATGACGTTGGTGACCGGAAATACGTGAAACCTAGCCAGGACGCGGCAACACTGGTGCGCGACTTTTTGGTAGGCGCGGGAGCAGACGAGAGCCTGGCGGATGACGTGCAGGCCATCTGCCTGGGAGTCAGCTACGCGGCTGAGATGCGGGACCCGGCGCGGACGGCGGCATTGATAACAACACATCCGGAGCTGGCGGTGGTGCAGGACGCGGACCGGCTAGATGCCATCGGCGCGGTGGGGATTGGACGATGCTTCGCCTACGGCGCCGCCAAGGCTGCTCAACGAGGCTTGCAGGGTTCGGTGGACCACTTTGGGGAGAAGCTACTGCGACTCGAGGGGATGATGAAGACGCAAGTTGGGCGTGAATTGGCAAGGGAGCGTACTGAACGGCTTCGCCTGTTCGAGGCGTGGTGGCAAGAAGAAAATGCGGCCGTCAACGTTCCGCGAGTTGGGTAAGGAGAGCGTCTACCCTCTCGCCCTATCTCTCTCTTTCAGTGTCTTTGTGCCTCCTCGGGTGGCGCAGGCTCCGTACGTTCGGCTCGATACCCCGCCTATTCGATCTGTTAGACGCGCTGCCAGAGAGTTCAACGCAACGATCTTTATGCACTTCCGCTATGCCCAAAAAAGAAAAAAAAAAGAAAAAAAAGGAAAAAAAGAAAG